GGGGAAGGGGGCGGGGAGGGAGTAGGGGAAGGGGTGGCAGGGGTGGTGGTGAAGGCGGCGACCCCGCCCGTCGTGATGTCCAGCCCCCCTGCCACGCCCTCGCCCAGGCTGGGTCTCTTGGGAACCGGCTCGCCCTCCACGCTGCCCTCGGAGACGCGCCTGGACATGGCACTCTCGTCCGCTTCAGACTCCAGGACACTTGCGTCGCCTGGCACTCGCTCCTCCGGCGCCTGACCCGATTCGGACGCCTCGTCCTCGCGCCTGATTTCGGACGCGATTTCGGCTACGCTCTCGGCCGCTTCGCACACGGCTTTGGTCGCAGCCTGGATCACCTCGCTCACCAGGTCCTCGCCGATCTCGTCCAGCCTGGAATCCCTGGCCGGGGAGCGCCCTCGCTTGGCCCTGGCGTCGGCTCTACTCACAGACTGGGTGTCGTCGTGGGTTTCGGACGTGGCGTCGTCACCCTCATCAACGCGTAGTAACTTCTGATAACTTTCTCGAGTTATCTCCTTTGCCTCGTCGTCCCCCTCTGCCTCTCTCTCTGCTTTCTTGTCTCTTATGCCCGCGATCTCTTCGGTTCTCTCTTCTGTCGCTATCTTTTCGATTTCTTCCTTACCTCTCTCCCTTTCTTCTGATATTTTCCTCTTCTCTTCCTCAGCTTCTTTCTCTAACCTTGCTTTCTCCTTTTCTTCCTCTTCCTTTCTCTTCTTAGCTTCACGCTCGGATATCCTCTTTCTCTCTTCCTCCTCTTCTCTCTTTTGCCTTTCCTCTTCCAAAAGTCTCTTCCTCTCCTCTTCCTCTTCTTGCTTTCTCTTCTCCTCCAAAATCCTCCTCTCTTCTTCCTTCTTCCTTTTTATTTCCTCTTCCTCCTTTCGCTTTCTCTCTTCTTCCTTCTTTCTTTTAATTTCCTCTTCCTCTTTTCGCCTTCTTTCTTCTTCCTTCCTCTTCCTCTCCTCTGCCTCTATTCTCTTTCTCTCCTCTTCCTCTTTTCTCTTTCGCTCTGCTTCCTCCTTCCTCTTTCTCTCCTCCTCTTCCTTCCTCTTTCTCTCCTCCTCTTCCTTTCTCTTTCTCTCTTCTTCCTCCTTCCTCTTTCTCTCTTCTTCTACTCTCTGCCTCTCCTCTTCCTCCTTCCTCTTTCTCTCTTCTTCCTCCTTTCTCTTTCGCTCTGCTTCCTCCTTCCTCTTTCTCTCCTCTTCCTCCTTCCTCTTTCTCTCCTCCTCTTCCTTTCTCTTCCTCTCCTCTTCCTCCTTCCTTTTTCTCTCTTCTTCTACTCTCTTCCTCTCCTCTTCCTCCTTCCTCTTTCTCTCTTCTTCTACTCTCTTCCTCTCCTCTTCCTCCTTCCTCTTTCGCTCCTCTTCTTCCTTCCTCTTTCTCTCCTCCTCTTCTTTCCTCTTCCTCACCTCTTCTTCCTCCTTCTTTCTCTTTTCCTCCTCTTCTTTCCTTTGTTTCTCTTCCTCTATCCTTCTTTCTTCTTCCTCCTCTTTCTTCCGCTTCTCTTCCTCTTTCCTCCTCTCTTCCTTCTCTTCTTTCTTCCGCTTCTCTTCCTTCTCCTCCTTCTCCTCTTCCTCCTCCTTTAGCTGCCGTTCGAGGATTTCGCTCACTTCCCTATCGGCCAGTTCGCTTTCTCTCTTTTTCTTGTTGTAGTAACTCGCTTCTCTCCAGCTCCTCCTCTTCCAACTGGCCCCCCCCTTCTTCTTCTCTCTCTCTAGCTCTTCTGCTTTCTCTTTCTCTTTTTCCTTTTCTCTTTCGATTTCTTGCTCTCTCTCCTTCTCCTTTTCTCTCTCGATTTCTTTTTGTCTCGCCTCCTCCTTTTCTCTTTCGATCTCTTTTTGTCTCTCTTCTTTTTCTCTTTCGATTTCTTTTTGTCTCTCTTTCTCTCTTTCGATTTCTTTCTCCTTTTCTCTTTCGATTTCCTTCTTTCTCTCTATTTCCTTTTCTCTTGCAATTACTCTCTCTCTTTCTCTTTCTCTTTCGATTGCTCTCTCCTTTTCTCTTTCTTTCTCTCTCTGTCTGTCCTTTTCTCTTTCAATTTCTTTCGCCCTTTCTAGTTGCTTCTCCCTCTCTCTTTCCTCTTCAATTTCCTTCGCTTTCTTTCCTTCTTCTTGTCTTTCTTTCACTTGTTCCTTTTCTTTCTCCTCTTCTATGCTTTCAATCACAGTTGCCAAATCTCTCTTTTTCTCTTGAATATGTTCTTTCGCTTTCTTTCTTGATTCTTCAATTCGTAATGTCTCTTCTTTCTTTTCCTTTACTCCTTCTCTTTCTTCCTCCTTCTTAATTTCCTCCACTTCTTTCTCGTCTTCCTCTTTTATTATTTTTCCCACCTTATCGTCTCCCTCTTTCTTTTCTATTCGCCGAGTCTTGGGAACTTCCTCCTCCTTACTCCTTCCTCTCCTTCCCAGTTCTCGTTTCTCCGCTTTCTCCTCGCCTTTCTCCCTTCTTCCTTCCCTGTCCTTTGCAGCCTTCTCCTTCTCCACCTCTCCTTCCTCCTCCTTCTCCCTTC